GGATTCATCGTCGTTTAAATGACATTTAATCAATTTGAAAGATTTATTGACCGTTACATAAGAATCAGAATCAGAATCTTTATTGTCATTGTACAAAATACAACGAAATGTATATTTGCCCTTCCCTTCAGTGCAGTCCTATTTATCTAAAACAACAACAATAATTAAAAAGAGATAAAAAGATCAAATCAAATGAAGAGTTACAATACAATATTAAAAGTGGGTATGATGTGCATATAAAGTGGCAAGTGCATTTCCAAGCAGCTTTTCAAATGTAAAAGTTAATAAAATGTGAGCCAGGAAGGCATACAATTTAATGTCCAAGTGTATAAAGTGGCAAGTGCATATCCTAGCAACAAGTTAAAAAGATTAAAATAATTTTGGCCAGAAACACCCTCAATTTAATGTCCATTCATTATTGCAACAGCCCTTGGATATGTACTATTTTTTAGTCTGTTTGTTTTGGCTTTTATGGTTCTATATCGTCTCCTTGAAGGTAACATTTGAAATAGGTGGTATGCTGGATGAGACGAGTGCTTCAGGATGCTGCATGCTTTGCTGTAGCAGCGGGCCTTAAACAACTCCTCTAAGGAGGGAAGAGTGCAGCCGATGATGTTGTGCGCTGTATTGACAACCCTTTGGAGAGCAGCTTTTTCCTGGGCAGTGCAACTGGCATACCACACTGGGATGCAATAAATAATTGAAAATCCGGCGACCACAATAATCAAACCCCTGGTCATCCCTTTGCTTGAAGGGGTGTATACCCTTTGCCCTTAGCCTTACGCCTTCAAGCTAAAGAGAATTAGGACACCACTACCCCTTTAAGGGCACGAGCAAAACGAGGGGTAGGGGTAAGGGGAAGGGCTAAGGGGTAGAATTGGGATTGGGCCTTACTCTCATACCAATTTATTATTGTAGGTTCACACCTAAAGCGGCGAGAGCGTCAAAGTAGCCGGAAGTCATTCATTTTCAATGAGAGCCGGCGGCGAGGAGCAGCGCGGCATGATGGTATGATGATGGTATGGTTTCATGGAATCGTGATCACTACTCTAAACTGTATTCTCTTTAAATGTCTGGGTAAAAACAAAACCCCCTTTCCCTTTGGAAACAATATTTTATTTTTTGAAAGATTTCAAATATTTTGGACCAGTAAACATGTTAGGGTAAATAATGAAAATTAATCATCGACTTCTGCTGTCTATTAGTTTCAAAAATACACATTTCTTTACAATTTAAAATGGCATCTTTGAATATCTTTTTTGCTGGAGATACTGTAGTCCTAAAAAAACAAAACAAAAAAGTAAATAAAATATCTTACACATACCTTAGGAATGGTATAACAGAAAAGTTTGATGGTTTTAATACCATGACTTTTCCAAACCACAGTATACCTTGAAAACGGTTATCGTCCCATGCCTAGTTCTGGCATTGCAACTTTTTAAATAGAAGATTGTATAAAACCACAGTTCAAATGATGGAAATAACATGCTTTATTTAGAAAACACCACCATGCTATTTATTTACACACTCGTTTTTCACAAACAAAGAAGGGCAGGGGTGAAAACGCAACAACAGAACTATAGAAAACCTTACAGCATCTGGAAAGATTTTGGTATTTCGAATCGCTGGCAAATGCTGGGTCATGTGGAGTAAATTAGCAGAGACCACAAAGCCTCAGAGAGTAAACACACACACACACACACAAAGATTTGATGGGAGAGGGAAAAGGAAAGTTCATTCCATTTCACCATTCTCATCTTAACCACCTGCATCAGGTCAAGAAGCATATCCTTAAATCTGGCAACCAGCACTTCTATAGGAATATCTGGCAACATGACCTCACCATAACAGGAAATCTGCGGTTACTCAGCTGACTCAAACTATGAAGAGCTACACTTTGTCCATTACTAAATGTGCAACATAAACAGCAAACGAAATGCCTTATTATTGTATGCGCATGAGACTGCAATCCATAAAATGTCTCTATAAAATTAGCAAGGAATTACTCTCCAAAAGAATTGAGTAGGAAATAGCACAACACAAAATATGGTATTTAAAATAGAGACTAGAATAATGAAGTCGGTCTAAAAGAATAGATATCAATAGTTGCGAGGAGTTAACCTGATCTGCCATTTAGCAGCCACAGTGGGAGACGTGAAACAGATTAAATATTGATCAAATGACACAGTGGCTTCCTCTGAATAAAAGAGAAGACAACGATAGACTGAATGTGTGTTCGGGTCTTTCAACCGCAGTTTTAGCTGATTTTAGAATACGGTGATGATGGTGGCTTAGAGGGATAGTTCACCTAAAAATGACAATTCACTAATAATTTACTGACCCTCTGGCCATCCCAGATGTGGGTCTCTTTTTTATTCAGCAGAATATTAATGCGTATTTATAGCTGAAACTTTTATTTATTTATAGCTGAAAGCTGTGGTCTTTGGTGATTCATAAAATGCAAGTAAACAGCTACTGGCGTTTTGAAAAGTCAAAGAAA